CCCCACCCCCTTGCTGTTCATCTTAGTTTGAATGTGTGTGCATCAGTCTGGCCTCTCTTTCTGCGGTTGTGCTAGTAACCTCAATCAACAACCTGATAATCTCTTCTGTGTCTTGTGGTTAAAGGAGAAGAAAACCCCAGAGCAAACAGCACATTATTTAGTGCTCAGCTCTCATCACCAAAGAGGGCCAGAGTAACTAGTGGGAAAGCAATATATGGTGTTCTTTCCTTTATTTTTTATTTCATTGTGATTGACAGAAATCCATCAGCCCCTGCACCAGATCCCCGTCTGCCACCCCAGAGCTGTCTTCTGCTACCCCCAACTCCAGTTCGAGGCGGGCAGAAAGCTGTTGTGAGCAGGAAAACTAACATGCACATATTCATTGAGTCTGGGCTTCGGGTAAGAATTAACCTTACAGTGCGACTCAACTGCCCACAGTGGGTCTGTAGGTTTTACTGCTCTGCTGAATTTCTAGTACTGCTCATTTCCACTATAAATGCCTTACTGTAAACAAATTATGGAATATTTTTTAAAGGGTGGTGCATGGTCCATTTATTATTTCTCTCTTCTTTGCTTGATAATATAACTCAGAATTAATGATTCTGACCTAATATTGATTATGGTTTTATTATTGCTATGCCCGTGAGTTTGCACCTCTAGACTACTTTGAATTTTTTTAAAAGGTGGTGAGCTTTTAAAAACACAAGTCTGATCATTTAATTTCCTTTTAAAAACCTTTCATTGGCTTCCATTTTTCCTAGGAGAGAGCCAGTCCTTTATTTGGGCTGCAAGGGCCTAGCCTCATATTGTACCACTCCAACACTTGCCAGCCACACGTGGCTTTCCCTCAGCTCTGTGAAGTCTCCACACTGTTCTAGCCCCAGGACCTCATCACCCAGTCCTCCCTCTGCCCACATCCCCACAGAAGTCTCCAAGCACTCTGCGTTTACAGTTAATTATTGCCTAGGGTGTGTCTTCCTGGCTAAGATCCATTAAGGCAGGACCGTATCCATCTTGGTCATTTCTGCATCCTGTGTGCCGAGCCAGCGCCTGGAATCAAAGTAGGTGCTGAGTAACCATTTGGGTAACGAACTTAGAATCTCAGCTACACAGTGCGCTCCCACCTTCTTCACTTACCGAGGCTCTCCCAAGCAGATTCCCAATTTTCCAAAAGCTTTGTGTATCAAATAGAAGCACCTTAACATTTCACATGTGTCTCTTAAAATCATTTCACCGTTACCTAACTCATTCGGTCTTATGGGCAACTGCTGTGAAATATCTCTTTAAACATTTAGCTGCTGCATCTGAGCCTGAAGACTTCCAAGATCAAGTCTTCAACTGAACATGTTCTGGAAATGTTGGATCCTTTTGTGTGTCTCCTCATAGACTGCCTGGGTTCCATGGACGTGAAGGTGAGCATCTTCCCTCACAAGGGCTGTGTCGTGCGAAACGCCCGAATGTGCTACTTCTAGGCTCGGGCTTCCCAAGGTAGTTGAGTTTTTCAAGGGATTTATGACATCATGAACCATCTCTATTCCCTGCATTCAGTTGCTTCCCAATGTAATTATCCCATATGTTGGGATAGCCCTTAAAGCTCTAAAAGGCCTTCCAGGTACATTAATTATATCATGTGATCCTCACAGCAGCTTCCTGAGGGTGAGTGGTCGTGTCCCATGTCAGTGTCATCATCACCTCATCATTGCTGTCGCTGCCACTACTCACTGCTACAAACCCTCAGAACCATCCATAAGGCATATATTATCGTTTCTGTTATATAGCTAAGAAAACTAGGCCTCAGGCTAAGTGACTTGCTCCAGAGTCACAGATCTAGGCCGTGAGCCTCAGCCTGTCAGACTCCAGCGCCTACACCTCGCCCATTTCCTCAGATTGCCTGTTTGACGGTGAAGGTGCCGAGAGGTTAAGTAACATCTCTCTAATCGAGTAGGTGTAAGCTGCAGAGCTGGGGTTTAAGGCCTGGCCTTTCTGACTCCAGAGCTGTTTGTTCTGCGTCTTCATCTGATCCAGCCCAGTAAGGCCATCACAGCAGCCAGAGCAGTAGGGTCTATGAGATGGAGCTAAACTAGGGGAACTCGCTCATCTAGGCGACCTCTCAGGTTTTGCCTGGAGGGTCAGGGATTCTCATGGAATCACTTTTTTTATACCTTTTTGCACAGCACTTTATTATAGTTTATTATTTCCCATGCTTAATTTCTGAGCCAGTTATCTGCTCCTTAAATGAGGAATAGCACCCTTTTTATCTTTATTTCTAATACTCAGTAAAGTTCCTTGTATATATAAGTTTAGTAAGAACGGATTAAATTGAAGTAACCATTCTAGAAATAAAGTCATTGGTAATGCATTTTTTTTTAATTGGTAAAATTGGTCAACCCATGCAGTCATTTACCCAGATGTATCTCCACTTGCTTTGGAGGAGCAACTAGTTCTTCTACAACAGGGAATAAGAAACTTGCCTATCTTCTTACACTTTGGACGCAGTTCTTCCAGATTGGGCTGGGCAGAGCATTTCATTCCTTCAACTCATTGCTTATAGAGTCTACACAGCCTTGGGTGCTGGGTTGTCGGGTGTAGTCACTTCATAAGTTGACTGGTTTTGTTTTTGTTTTTCAGGTTATCACAGGCGCTTTACAATGCCTGATCTGGGTCTTGAGGTTTCCTCTGCCTTCCACAGAAACAAAAGCGGAGCAGCTTATAAAACACCTTTTCCTTTTGTTGAAAGACTATGCAAAACTCGGAGCTGCCAGGGGCCAGAACTTCCACCTGGTAGTAAATTGTTTCAAGGTGAGGTGTTTTCACATGCACTTAGAAAACGCCAGGCCCGGGATTAACATCAAAGTTAGCTTTCCACCATGTCCTTTGTGGTCTTGGTCAAATGTTCTACAGATTAACTTGCTAAGGCCAGAGGGTTGGTTTCCAGTGTAAAAAAGCATTGATATGATATTAAGTCCTGTTGTCTTGCTCGATCCTGATTTGTGGGACATCCTGGCTATTAACCTCACTCCTGAAACTTGCAGTGTGTGACCCTACTTGTGAAGAAGGTGAAGTCTTACCAGATCACCGAAAAGCAGCTCCAAGTTCTACTAGCATATGCTGAGGAGGACATTTATGATACTTCAAGACAGGCCACTGCGTTTGGTCTTCTGAAGGTACGTGTCACCAGCATTGTGGATTAGACAGCTTATGAGCCTCACGTCAGATATTTAGAATAACATGGAACACAGTAGTTTGACTATCTAGAGACTTCCAGAATTAAGTAATTCTAAAGATGATGATTTGGGTGGTTTCATTATAAGCTAACATATCTACTTATTGAAATGTTTGAACGTGAACTCTATATTAATACTTACAGGCAGTTCTCTACAAACACAAGTGTTCTACCTGTATTTATCGTATATGACGTTCCCCTTTTTCTTTTTAATTCTGGTGAAATATACATAACATAAAATTGCCCATTTTAACCATTTTTATGTGCTTTTTCTTTTGGGGATACTTTATGTCTGAAAACTGCCTGTGACTACTTTAACATCAGATTGGCTTATACCCCTCTGCAATAAAACATAGAGTATGTCTTTTCCGTTTGTATTTTAGGCCATTTTATCAAGGAAGTTGCTGGTCCCAGAAATCGATGATGTCATGCGAAAAGTATCCAAGTTGGCAATTTCTGCCCAAAGCGAACCTGTCCGAGTCCAGTGCAGACAGGTCTGTAGAAAACTTATTCCCATAGCCAGGGTTGGGCCCGGCCTTCTCTGTTTGGTTTTTGGATAAGAGAAATGTCAACATCAACTGAATGCTGAAGATAACTTTGTGTCACATTGATGCTTTATTCTGATACTCAGGAACCCATGTCCACTCCAAGTATGAGAAGGGTCTCGGCCTTGTCTTACGGGCATTTTCAGTTAACAAGGAGCATTTCGAGTACAGCCCACCATGTGTGGCATGTTTCAGATAGAGCAGTACCTTTCCTTGTTCAGCATGCTAGCCTGCAGCAAAGATTTCCATCCAGTGGTCTGTCATCCATGCATATCACTGTGTGTCAGGCGCTCCTGGAAGAGTGGTCAGCCAAATGTTTATAGTCCCCATCTTACAGTAGGCGGTACAAAATGAAAATTCCACAAATAGTTCTTTAGTTACAGCCATCATAAGTGCCAGGAGGAAAGAAGTGCTATTGTAGTTCATCACTTACGAGATGCCCCATTATATACCTTAAAGAAAGAAAAACTGTGACACAAGGGTAAGATGCCATATCCCAAGGGTATGACACATCCCAATTTCAGATATGTTAAAATAGGAAAACCTGTGCTCCTTAGAATTAATGAAATATGGAAAAGCGTATGATAAGCATACGTGATCGGTGGAGCACCACCCTAGTGTGAGAGCCGGGGAAGGCTTTCCTGAGGACTGGCATGTGAGCAAAATGTGAAGGGAGAATAAGGCTTCACCTTCCTGGTGAAGGGAGTGGCAGGTGCCTGAGGAAGGTAAGCCGTGAGGCGGGTAGGAGCTGAGTTTGTTGGAGCAGCTAAATGAGAGAGGTGGGGGAGGGAGCCAGGTCAGGCAAGACCTTGTGGACTTGCTAAAGATTTAGAATAGCAAAAGCTGTTGCAGTCAGTAAGCAGGGGAGTGACGTGAGCAGATTTGTGTGCAGACATTTGTTCATCCCTGATCACATGAGCACATACCGACCCAGGAGGTGGAAGAGTCTGAAATGGAAGTATGAACTCAAGAGTTCAGGGAGGGTTTGAGCTGCTGGAAAGGGAGGAGTCTTTGGAATAGCTTCCTGTTAGAAAGAAGGACGACCAGCTGCTATTTATTAAGCACTAGCTGTATGCCCAGCACTTCACATACATGACTTATTTGTAACTATCCTTCCAAAGACATAATACCCCCATTTTATGGCTGGGGAAAAAACAGGCCTAGAAAGTTCAGTGATGTGCCGTAGTTCTCACGGTTTATTAACAAAAGAGGCTGAAAAGTGTACAGTTTGCGAGCAGAGCCTTTGGACGCAGATGGACTAGGCATTGCCACTTGAGTAAGTTACTTACCTCTGTGTGCCAACTTCATTCTCTTCATCTGTAAAATGGGGTAACATCACCTACTTCCTAAGGAAGTGATGAAAAATAACCAAGAAACCCAGTGTTAGGCACATGGAAGCTATTTAGTAAAGACAGTAGTTATTATCAGTCTTAAAATTATTGTTATTCTTATTGAAGGGGAAATACAGGTAGAACCACAGTCTAGACTCAGTCCACCCACCACCCCACACCACCTGTCAAAGAGAGGGGAGCTTCTAACATGGGCCTGAGATTTGGAGCCCTAAACCACCGTGCCAGAGGTGGGCCCGGACTTGACTCTTAATCAGGCAGGGAGGGCCAGACCTGGGTAAGTGGAGTGGGAAGAGAGTCAGAGGCACAGCTGTCAAGGCAGGAGGCCAGCTTCACGTAACTGATGACCTTTCTGAAAGGTCTTTTTAACCTACTAGCATGTCCCAGAAAGCAGCTTAGGAAATGGATCCTGGAGAGAGACACTCCAAATAATCTTCTGTGACTTCTGTTCCCAGGTTTTTCTGAAATATATTCTCGACTATCCTCTGGGTGATAAATTGAGACCAAACTTGGAGTTCTTGGTCGCTCAACTAAAGTAAGTTTAAGCCGTAACCTACACAGAGGAGGCGGCGAAGGTAGTTTCCGCTCTCCTTGTAATGTGGCAGCAGTCTTGAGCAAAGCTGAAACGTAAAGGCACATTCTCTGAGGATGATGTCATATGAATCATTGACTTGATTAGCAAACAGTGTGTGTGGCTTCATATAGCAGTTCTGTAAGTTGCTTTTCAATTCCTTCTGACCATTGAGTTGTCATTAGAGTCCACTTAGGAGAGGGGTAAAAATCTAACAAAATTACATTTAAAACTGCACAGTAGCATGATATATACAAGCATTAAAATTGGGAAAACGGAGGTCTTTTTCCACTTTTTAAGACATAGACTGGCACCTTGTGCCAGTGTTTTAAATTCTTAAAAATAATTACAGGGCCGGCCGAGTGGCGCATTGGTTAAGAGCTGGCTTGGGATGCCAGAGGGCCCCGGTTCGGATCCCACATATGAGGGCCAGTGACACTGCCTTCTACAAAAATAAATAAATAAATAAATAAATAAATAATTACATGTAAATTTAAAAGATACTAACAAGACCTTCTAATGTTCTTGCCCTAGTTATGAACATGAGACTGGGAGAGAGTCTGCCTTGGAAATGATGGCTTATCTCTTTGACACGTTCCCTCAGGTACCGTGAATCACAAAAACAAACGGCTAGCCGTGTTTCCCTTGAGCCTTTGGGAGCCCACGGTCCGCCCTGGTTAGGGCGTCTGTGAGAAGTCCAGTCTGAGTGTGCTCATAAGGGCCTGTTTTCTTTCAGGGGCTGCTCCATGAGAACTGTGGAATGTTCTTCATTCCTCTTTGTCTAATGATGGTGAATGATAACTCTGCCATGTGTAAAAAGATGGCATCCATGACGATCAAATCCTTACTCAGTAAAATCAACCTTGAGAAAAAAGATTGGCTCTTCGATATGGTCACCACCTGGTTTGGAGCAAAGAAGGTTAGGATTACTTTTCGTCATATTTCGTATTTTCGTCGTATAATGAAAAGTCTTAGCTTTTGGTGTTCATACCTTAAGTAAGAATACATATACATTGTTGAATTAATTTTTCCCAACTAGCTTTATTCTTTTTATTTGATTATGCTAATAATATATTCTTATAGTAAAATTTCAGAAAATAGAAGAAGTTACAGAGGGTAATATAAAAATCACCTGTGTGCCCACCACATGGTTAATGTCAGCCAGTGACTCCACTATGTGACTGTTTCATAATGTACTTAACCAGCCCCCATTGATGAGTACCTTTGTTTCCAGTTTTGCTTATTCAGTTTATGGAATGTAATTTTTGTCAATGATTGTATCCACTTGGTGACTCTACCGCCAGCATCACTGGCTCATCTCTGTGGAATATAAACAACACATGTCATATCTGGCTTAAGTGTTAAAGTCAGAATGGGGGCTGGAGGGATGGTATGAAACTTTTTGCCTTTTTTCTTAATTTAAAATGAGAAAAAAAAATGTATCATGCAGTGGATAACGATGAATACCCCTTTTTAAAAATGTTATTCTTGGGGATGAAGATTTCTCCATATTTTTCTTGTTAGCTACCAAAGATCCATTTTCCATTGATTTCTGGCGTCATGAAGAGCTGTTGAGGACAGAATCATGCACGCCTTCATGTTACAATTTTGGACACAGCCTCCTAAGTTGTACTGACATTGTCTTTCGGTGGTGTGTTTTGTTTGTTTGTTGTGTTTTTTTTGGTAGAGCTTAAGTAAACAACTTGCTGCCCTGATCTGTGGCTTGTTTGTGGAAAGCGAAGGCGTCACTTTCGAGAGAAGACTTGGAATTGTCCTCCCTGTGATTGAGAAGGAAATGGATCCTGAGAACTTTCAAGATGTAAGTTTTGTGCCAGGGACTAAAACGTCTGCTAACTCTTATCGTTTTGCTTGAGATGGTCTAGCTAATAGATTAAATGATGTGTTCAAAGATTTTGTTGTTGTTAATAAAAGCAAGAATTCAGTGTAGTTGAATCTTCTATGGGGGCTAAAGTAAGTTATCGTCCCTAGTATATGACGATCAAAGGTTCTCAAGCGGGGTGATTCTGCCCCTCAGGGGAGGTTGAGCAATGTCTGGAGACATTTTTGGTTGTCACAACAGGAGGGTGGGAGGGGACTACTGGCATCTAGTGAGGAAAGGCTGCTAAATATCTTCTGGTGCACAGGACAGCCTCCCACAGCGAAGGATTATCTGACTCAGAATGTCAGTTGTCTTGCAGCTGAGAAACCCTGGTGTAGATTTACATGCTGGAGTAAAAATGTCCGTCGCATACTTTGGCGTCGTTGTCTTGATTGATTTGCATCCAATCTGTGTTTAGATCGTGGAAGAGACTGAAGAAAAAGCTGCGGATCGCCTTCTGTTTAGTTTTCTGACACTGATGACTAAACTCATCAAGGATTGCAATATCATTCAGTTCACCAAGCCCTATGAGACTTTGAGTAAAATCTGGAGTAAGTGTTGCCTTTTTATTTAAATCTAAAAGTGAACATGTTAGTTGTGATAAAACCATTGAAAACAGATTTGGGGAATTAGAATAGGAATACTTCAGAAAGTCTAGAATGTCAAAGAAAAAGCCTATGAGAAAAAAATTATAGGGCTCTTTCATATTAATTACAGTAAAAATGTTTCTGAAAAACATATATATTTATGACTTTGTAAGTAATACATTTCATTTATTAAAGAAAGAATATTAGTTATGGGAGATATAAGAAAGGAAAAAATTCTCCCAAGTCCTCCTTGCTACTTGATAATAATTTGGTATATATTTCCATCCAGCCTTTTTGTTGTTTTCTTTGTTGTTGCATAATTCCATATAAACTTTTATATCCTATTTGATTGTACCTAAGTAAGCATATTACTATAATATGCTTAGTAGATATCCTTTTAAATAGCTATAAATAGTCCATCATGTAAATGTGCCATGATTTACTAAACCGTTTCACTCCTGTGAGACATTTAAGATATCACTTTAAATGAAAAATAAGATTATAGGTTTTTTAATTTAACATTCGAGTTTGATTAGTCTGTAGGAAATAGACAATGGAATGAATGCTTTAAGTACCCACCCATTTTAAGAGAACTCAGGATCCTATGAGAAATAATACAGTTACTAAGGTACTGTATGGCCTACTCTGGTTTCATGAAATATAGCAGCATAGACTAAAACTCTGATATGACATGGCTCATCCAGAATTTTAATCCTGTTCCCTGACACCACAAGGTTTTTCCACTGTACTTTCCAAGTGGCAGATGGAGAGTGGCCATGCAGCATTAGAGTATGACATTTAAGGGATCGTATTTAATAGTACAAGCTTTGGGGCCAGATGGAGCTGGGGCCTGGGCTTGGTTCTGCCTGTTACAGCTTGGTATGTCTCTTAGTCCCTCCTGAACATCCGTTTCCTTATCTGCAATGTAAAATAGAAATGAGAATTCCAGCCTCACAGAACTGTTGTGAGGTCTAAATGAAGCGTGTAACACACTTAACCCTGTGCCAGGCACATAGAAAGCCTCAAGAAACGATACCTTTCTGGTCAGCTACTTGGAGCCGCCAATTTCAATACTTAGGAGAAACAAATGTGTACCTACATATATATCTGCATTAATTTTAATTTAAAAATTGTAAATGTTATTGCCACCTTCTGTCTCTTGAATCTGAAACTCGTTCTTAATCGAGTTGGTCTGGTTTTAGACTTACTTGTATCTCTCTCACATCATTTACCATGTTAGGAGTTGGTTTTCTAGTTGTTTAGTGTCTCCCTAGCTCCTTGAGAGCTTCTGGGAAGCAGGGGCTGTTTTGTTCATGTTTAGTTCTCAAATCTAAGCACATAATAGGTACTCCAGAAATGCCTAAATCAGTCATATTTACCACCAGAGTCCTGAAAACTGCAAGACCTCTGAGAATGCATTTTGGTTCCCTTGGTTCCTTCAGGTCACGTGCACTCCCACCTGAGACATCCCCACAGCTGGGTGTGGCTCACCGCGGCCCAGATTTTTGGATTGCTCTTTGCCTCTTGCCAACCAGAGGAGCTTATTAGAAAATGGAATGCCAAAAAAACTAAAAAGAAACTCACAGAGCCTGTAGCATTCAGGTTCCTAACAAGTGACCTTGACCAAAAGGTAAGCCTTCTCTAAAACTTGTCTTCCCTCGTGACCTGTGTGGGATGTTCATGCTGCTCATGTAGCTATATGGGGTTGGCCCTTGTGAGAAATTCTTCCAGCCAAAAACCTGTTGCATATGTGAATCTATAGGAATGTGAGGAACTGGAGAGGGGTCACCCTCAAGGCCAAGGTTTTTCAAAGATAATTTTTAGACGATCAGTCTAATTACTTTTGCTTTGCTTATTTAGCATGTTCATCTTCTATTATATGTTTAAATTCTTTATCAGCATTGGAAAATAAGATGATTATTGTCTGTCCTGCCTCCTTCATAACCTTGTTGATAACTAAATGAGATCACGTTCATAAAAATGTTAGGTAGGGACCATGTTTCATCCATCTCTGATTTCCTAGGATGGCCCAGCACAACGCCTGGCTCATACTGGGAACTCTGTAATACTGAATGAGTGGAGGGTAAAAAGGAAGAAAAGAGGGAGAAGCATTAGAATGTTTCAAAGCTCTCTACTAATCATCTAAGGGATTATGATCTATTATCTCCCTAGAGCTTGAAAGTATCTCGTTTCCTTGGGCCTAAATGTCTGTGGTAGGTAGAAGGGAACAGTTATACAATTTCTGTTCATGAACCAGAACCTCTCCAGATCTGCACAGGTGGTCATTCAGAGCAAAATCTAGTACCTCAGTTGTATTACTATGGTTAGTTACTCAGAAATGCCCTGCATTGTGTCTCCTAATGTACGTTTTCTCTTCACAGATGAAAAGTATCTCCCTAGCCTCTTGCCATCAGTTACATTCCAAATTCTTGGATCAGTCTCTGGGAGAGCAGGTAAGTATCATAATCCTATCCCGTTACATACAAGGGACCTATTCTACCAACAGTCTAGGAATAGGATCAGATTTGGTGTTTGGTTTTTGTTTTGTTTTTCCTAGTTTAATGCTTGAGGAATTAAATGAAATAATAAACATACACTCACATGCTCAGTTATGCACATATATCTAATTGACTCTGGGGTCCATTTGGGATTTCTCTTGGTTCCATTTAAAATTCCCAATAAAGATGATGCCGTGGAAGGCTATTTATTAAATCTTTTTATCTTCAATTTTAACATATCTGCTCCGCATTGTGACTGAAGCTTTGAAAGAAAGGCATTGATTTTTATATTAAACTGTAATATTGAATTTCTTACCCCTAGAATTTGAAGAGAAAGCACTAATGTTCATGCTTCAGTGTGGCCTGACAATTGTCTGTCCTTAAGAGAAAGCAGATAAATAATTCAATCACTAAGAAGCTTTATGTGTTTTCATATTATAAAATTATAACTATATGTAAAATGTAAATATAGAGAAGGCATTTACAAGTACATAGTAAATGTAAATTGCTTTTGAGTAGTTGGTCTGCTACTCCCATTTTCAACTCTTTTAATATAGCAATTGGGCTAGTAAATGCTTACGTGACACAGAAGTGGTATATGGAGATGAGTAAGGCACTTGACCTTGACTATTGTGAGTCGTGGACAAGATGGAGCAATGTAGACCAAGGTATAGGGGCACTAGAGGTGAATACCACATCTAAAGCGCCATACACACTTATACTTCTATCCCTTTTTTTTTTTTTTTTTTAAGATTTTTATTGGGGAATTGGGGGATGGGAACAGTGCTGGGGAATTGGGGGAAGGGGAACAGACAAGTTGCTGTCGTTTTGTTCTTCAGTCTAGTTGTGGAGGATGTTGCTTCACTGGCCCAAGCTGGCATCATCATTGCGCTCTTCCCAGGCGAGGCAGATCAGTCGCTGGCTTCTGGACGGCCGCTCACTGTAGCTGCTGGCCGCTCATGCTGGCTGCTGGCTACATACGGTAGCCCATGGCAACCCACTGCAGCAGGGGCTGCAGCCTACGCCATAGCCTGCGACTCAAAGCAGCCCAGCTCCAGGTTGAGCTGTTTGTTGTTCAGCATCTTAGCTGTGGAGGGCAGTGTCACTGGCCCTCATATGTGGGATCCGAACCGGGGCCCTCTGGCATCCCAAACCAGTTCTTAACCATCGCGCCACTTGGCCGGCCCTTCTATCGCTTTTTAAAATAAAGCTATAACATGCTTCATTCTGTGGCAGGGTTGGGGAAGGAATGGCTGGCTAGTCAGTGGATAGCAGCAAGGCCAAAGAAATCCAGCTGGGGTGGATTGCAGGTGGGCTCTCACACAGTATCAGTTTTGATAAAAGTGGACAGACATTCAAACCCAGGACAGGGAGGAGGAGATTTACTAGTACTGACCCAGGATGAAAGAAAGTACAGATTTTAGTTCATTATAATCTTAAAAGTGAGTTAACAATGTGAGGTGACTGCCACAGGGGGAAAGGCCTCCAAATCAGGGACTGCCTTCCTGGAGATCCAGGCTTCCAAAAGAAGGAAATTATAGTCTTGGCACCAACTCTCGATGGACAGGCTAGACTAGGACAGTGTGTGGGGTTCTGAGGACTACATTTGGGGAACTTTTGGGACACAGCACCTCTAGTGGAGCAGCCAGGATGCTTTCCTCCTTCCCATGAGGGGTGTGAAATACCTACATCTGCGATTTCATGGATGTCACAGGGACTCAATAAATGTGTCCCTTATTAAGAGACTAAAATTGTCCCTGGGCTGTTTACCTGGATTAGATGGGATTTGAGGAGGGAGGAGCCAGTGTTTAGAAGTTATGTTTGAATTCTCAAGACCTTTGAATTCTGGCTGACCGCTCACTTTATCTTTGGGCGAGTCATTTAGTAACTCAGCCTCAATTCTCTCTCCTGATAATAGTACCTAATAGGGCATTTTAAGTTGAATTGGAATGCTGTATACAATGCTTCTCATCAGTTCTCAATAAATGGAAATTGTCATTTCTGTGAAGAAAGAATGAATTGAATGGAATGAGGATAAAAGCTTTCTTTAAAAATGTAAATGGGCAGTCCAGAATAAATTGGTTTACTCTGTGTGACCTTAAAGGGTAGAACTAAGCCAACTGGACGAAAGTTACATGGAAACGGGTTTAGTAGGCACACTATAAGGAGGAACTGAAGAATTACCAAAAAAAAGGGACCATCATCAGTGTAATAGTGCAATACCCAGTTGTTTATTTTCTAGTTGTCGAACACCTATAAAGCTTCTGTTTTGCCAAGCCATATTTATTTCAAAATCAAAGTCCAATTCCTCCCCTCCCTTCCTTTTTTTTTTTTTTGGTCAGTTTTTTTTTTCTTAGTTACAGTTGACATTCACTATTAGTTTCAGTTGTACAGCGTAGTGGTTAGACATTTATATACTTTATGCAGTGATCCCCCCGATGAGTCTAGTACCCACCTGACACTCACTATACATAGTTGTTACAACATCATGACTATATTTTCTATGTGTACTTTACATCCCCGTGATGATTTTGTAATTACTAATTTGCATTTCTTCGTCCCTTCACCCTTTTCTCCCAGCTCTCCAACCCCCCTCCCCTCTGGCAATCATCAGTTCTCTGTATCTATGCGTCTATTTCTATTTTGTTTGTTCCTTTATTTTGTTCTTTAGATTACACATGTAAGTCAAATTGTATGGTATTTCTCTTTCCCTGTCTGACTTACTGCACTCAGCACAATACCTTCTAGGTCCATCCATGTTGTTGTGAATGGTTAAGATTTCATTCTTTTTCATGGCCAAGTTTTTTTCTTGTTTTTGTTTGTTTGTTTGTTTATTTTTAAGGTTGTTAAGAATTTGCTGTTTGTAGCCAAAGTCTTGTATTTACTGGAACCCGATTCTGGGGCTAAGCAAGGTGAGATGAAGGAGCACGTGGAGGAAGAAGCCGCTGTAGGCGATGGCGTGGCCGGAGAGGATGCAGACGACGAGGCCTGTGCACGCGAGAAGGCAGAAGCTGACAAAGACGAGAAGGAAGAGCACAGCCGGCCGGCCACGCTGCTGCACTTGATCCAGAAGTTGTCCCGGATTGCAAAGCTGGAAGCTGCTTACTCACCGAGAAACCCCTTAAAGGTGCGAATAATATGCAGTTATTGAAAGTAGTCCTTTTTTTAGAAAATATTTTAGTGGTGTCGGTGATCCTCCCAAGTCCCTAGGAACTTTTGAATACAAAATGCAGCTCTGTCTGCCCCAAAACAGACCTTGTTTTCTAAATTAACTGTGTGGCTGCAAGTATAAGAGAAACACTTCTGATGAAAAACAATCTGGATTTTCAGAGAACCTGCATCTTTAAGTTTCTCGGAGCTGTGGCCATGGACCTTGGCGCAGACAAGGTGAAGCCGTACCTCCCGGTGATCATAGCCCCTTTGTTCCGGGAACTGAACAGCACCTTTGCGGAACAGGGTAACGGCAGCCTCTCCTCAATCCTTGCACCTCTCCTGAATGCTTTTCTTCCTTCCTGTCCTCCCTCCTTGGCAGAGTTTATTTTAGGAAGGAAAACTTGCTAGGTATCAAGACAATAGCTAACAAATAAGGCACGTTTGTGTGATCGTTGCCTACTTGCTCCTACATGCTTTCTCACGTTTAAGAATGAATGTTCCTAGAAGATAACGTTTCACTCCTAAGCACAGATTAAATATTCAAAGAAAACTATAATTTGGGGTGGTTCTAAACTTCATAGTGCTATGAAGAACGAACAATGGGAAGTCATTATATTCTCAAGAATTATAAGGCAAAAGTATATGAAATAGTTTAAATATCACTTCAGTTTTTCCTGTTTTTTTTTTTTTTTTTTGCCAATGCATTGGGTGCATTTCCCTCACTGATCCTAAAATGTGTCTTGATAATAGGAAAAGAGGGAATTGAGGGTTGGGTTAGAAAGAGAGCAGATAAAGTTTTTAAAAATAAATGTTAAAAGTTTTAAAATAAAACAAATGAAGTAAATGTCAAAGCAGGAGCTGTTTTAGTCCCACAGCCTTGAAAGTTTCCTTCCTCTTCGAGGAAAAAAAGCAATGGTGAAGGTCAGGTCTGCTTTGGTTCTCATCAGACAACATTTATGAGCACCTAATATCTGCCAGGCAGTGGGGGTTCAACAGTGGAAAAGGCCTTGTCCCTATTGTCAAGAAACTTGGAATCTAGAAGAGGTGTTGAACTTGATGCAAAAATATGTGGGTTATTTGCATTTGGGAGAGGAGGCAAGGAAGGGTGAGAGAGCGCAGCTTTGTGTAAGCTTCTCAAAGGAGTCTTTGATCCACACACACACAAAAAAAACGTTGTCAGAGCTAAGCCTCTGTGACCTGCGAATTAGAGAAGACCTAGAGAAACGCGCTTACCTTTACCCCATCTGCAGGGCTGAGCAGGTTAATAAAGGTAACCCAAAACATTTCCGTCCAGTTCTCAAATTCCTAATGTCTTCTGAGCCGGGATTCTGCTGGGAAGGCTGTTTCGTGGTCTCTGATCCCTTGTTGCATCCTGGGGGATGTGTCCAGCACTCTTGCTTGTCCTCTCATCTCAGAAACGTAAAGGCTAGATTCAGATTAGTGTTTAATGTTGAAGTAATAAAATTGATAATGCTTCCAGAGTTTAAATCGTGCTGCTCGTTGGTTTTGTAGATATTAAAATGTCTCTTTTCTTATGTAATTGCCTCTGATTATTACTCTGTGTGTGATTAGATCCTTCGCTGAAGAATCTATCCCAGGAAATCATAGAATTACTCAAAAAGCTGGTTGGGCTGGAGAGCTTCTCATTAGCCTTTGCTTCTGTACAGAAACAGGCTAATGAGAAAAGGGCACTCCGGAAAAAGAGGAAGGCTTTGGAGGTAAGTTTGCTGTTTGAAAATACTCGTATTTAGGTTGAATCACTGTTTTTAACCAGGAGTGTGTGCATGCATGTGTGCGGCACTACCCAGGGAGGAAAGAGGAACTGGCTGTTTGAGAAGTGGGGACTTTACAGCTGGGGCTCCAGGTTGTCTTTAATGGGCATGTATTGCATTCGTGATGTTTGAAAGAGAACAAAAGGGTCCATTTGTGCATTTGATTTTTATTGGCTTAACATTTACTTGAAAGCAATATAAAATGTCTGTTCTTTTCTCAAGTTTGTAACTAATCCTGATATTGCCGCCAAGAAAAAGCTGAAGAAACACAAAAATAAAAGTGAAGCAAAGAAGAGAAAGATAGAGTTCCTGCGTCCCGGATATAAGGCCAAGAGACAAAAGAGCCACAGCCTGAGAGACTTGGCAATGGTGGAGTAAAGTAGCCCTGTGCTGAGTGTTCCGGCTTCCCCCAAAGTATGGCCTTGCCAGTTAGCTGCTGGTCTGACATCACAGCAGGTTTTATTATTTAAGTTAAACTTTGGCAGAGATTGTATATTATTTTACAGTTAATGTAATGCTCATATTTTTTAATTAAAACATTTCATAATACTATTGTATTTTCACTGTCTAAAAAGCATGTGACACTAATGATATAGTTAAAAATGTTTTGTTTCTAAAGATACATTTTAAAATAGCAATAGAAAAGTTAGGAGTAGATCAAACAAATGATTTGCAATACCCTTACAGAGGCAGTTATAAAACTATCAAAAGACATTAAGAAAAATTTCCACACAAAAAAAGAAAAAACTGCACAAATGGAGAGGCATAACCATGTTCATGAATAGGAAGATTGAGTATCATAAGATGCTAGTTTTTCCCAAGTTAGATCCCACTGGTTAAATGATATCTGAGCAAAATCCCAGGAAGAGTTCGTGTTATCCTAGTAAGCCAAATCTAAAAAATATACAGAAGATAAGCTGAGACTAGCCATGATGCTCTTTAAAAAGAACAGGAAGGGGTTTTCCTGTCAACTATCAAAAGTAAGACCCAAAAAGTGCTATCTGTAGAAGGAACATGTGATAAATTATACTTTATTAAAATTAAGAACTTCTACTTCAGAAAAAACAGAACTGGTGTGGTATGTAGCATATAATGATAAAGGATTAGTAATATCCAGGCTATAGAATGAATACCTGTGAATCAACAAAGATGATCGAGTAGAAAAGAGTGGCAAGAGCAAAACAGGCATTGCACAGAAGAAATAGAAATGGCCCTTAAACATTAACATTTAGATATGTAATAGTCTTAAATATTGAAGTACTTATGTACCGGTTGGTAAATAGTCACTACCTTGAGACCTCCCCCCTGCCCCCCAAGTGCCACCCTAGCTACATGAGTCCCTAGACTCCATATGTCTCCACGCCAGAAATTAAAGGCTTAATACCTGTACTATTAGGGGTCCTTCTGCATCAGCTGTGTCTATCTAGTTGTTAAATGTTTTGAATCACTCCTGTATTCAACATCATTAATAACTGGGGAAATGCAAATTAACACCAGAATAAAATTCCATTTTGAACCCTTCAGACACAGCTGACATCACCACTGTTAGTGAGCATGGCAGAGCAAAGGGAACTCTTGTAAACCACTTGGGCGATTTGGCACTAGCTTGTTCAACCATATGGGGGAGGGGTCTCGCCTCCCTCTACATTTGATGTGGAAGCAATATTCTTTAGTGCCCCATATGCTGGTAAGGGAGTCGAAGAGCCATTCTCTGTGCCAGGCACTTTGCATACCTTTTGTTTAATCCTCAAAGTATTCCTGAGAGATGCCCTAAAATTGGTTCTTATTTTACAAATAAGGAAACAGACTCAGACTAAATAATTTACCTAAGGATAACAGACTGAGGTGCCATAATCAGGATTCATACCCAGGATTGAAAGCCCTTGCTCTCCGAATTTGTAATTATGGGGTTAGAATATTACAGCATATAGCATAGGAATCAAATGTTCAAACAGTCATAACTTCAGCATCTGTGTCTTGATGTAGTGTCTTGTTTCTCTCCCAAACAGGAGTTCTCACACTTCCAGGGGCTTGTAATGTGCCAAACAGATAAATATGGGGCATCTTGAAGGCCAGTTTCAATTCTAAGTGTTCAAAATGCATTGCTTTTATAAAAATTTTAAAAATCAAAAACACAGAAGTTAACACTAAGGCAAAAATCCGAACAAATATCTCAGGGATACTGAGCACAGCTTTGTTTTAATCAGTAAATATTTATTGAGTGCCTACTATGTGCCAGGTGCACCACACTAGATGCAAGGGATACTAACAGTAAATAAAGTTGGTCCCTGCCCTCAAGGAGCTTACATTTCCACAATTTAAAGTGCATCTCAGGTATTCTGATAACAGAATTCCACCTCTCCCCATTTCTTAATTTTTCAGTGTGATCACATAACACAGCACAACTATCAACCAGTTATAAAATAGAATGTTAGAGCTAAAACAAACCTTTGATATAATTTGTCCAAGTCTCTTGTTTTACAGAGAAAAATAAACTGAAGGGGTAGCCATTCGTGCCTAGAACCCTTGTGTTCTCATTTCAAATTTGGTAACTTTTTCCCCTTTCCCGCTTCTCACAAAACAATACTCGGTAGATTTTTATAAATATCAACATTCAAAGTCCTGCAACACACCTGCACAGTGGTTCCTGCTGGACAAGAACCTTTTGTTCCATATTAAAATAAGTGTACGCTCTATTTATCCCATCCTATTCTCGGTGATAAGCCAGACAGATCAGCTAACGTTATCCAAGTGCCGACCTTTGCTATAGATTCACATGCCCTCCTCAGGGCTCACGACAGCACCTACCTGTCAGAGCCCACTTCCCCCCGCTTCTGTCCTCAATGATCCTCGACTGCCAGGAACTACTTTGCCACTTGATACAAATTAGGAATAGCTGCTGGGGAGTAAGTAAGAGTAAAAGCCCCACTGACAAAAAGAGAAAACCACATTCATTTGAGCTGAGAGAATGACCAGAAGTGTGAGGGGAGAGGCCAGAGGCCAACATCTGGAAGACAGTGGCAGGGGCAGGAAATGAACCCCTGGTGTTCTCGAGACCTGAGAGTCACAATGGTATTAATTTCATTTTACCAGCATCTAATTTTTTAAATGCTGGTTGTCCGACTTAAAAAATGAAAAGAATTCTCCCCAATTTTAGTAGTTACTAAGGACTATATTTACTTCTGTCACGCTGTAGCCAATCCTGTGGTAGACTGGGGCAGCTGGAAACGTTCCTTTGAACATAATTCTTTTGCTAGCCTAGCAGTAAGCCTAATTTTTAAAACCAAGAATGCTTAATTTCTCCCTGTAGAACCAATAAGATTTTGACTTTTCACCAAATTTACATGTCCAGTTGCAAGTAGGTTAAAAGAATAAAAGACATCTTTTACAATGCTTCTTAAAATAAATCTTTTTTTATTTCCTTCAATGTGAATTCTTTCTTTAGTGTGTTGTGAATTCATCAAATATAACAATTTAGGATTGTTTTTACTACGTTTACTAGTATGGACAAATAAATTTATAGACATTTTGAATGTACACTACTTCAATTAGCATAATTTTTTTTAAGGAGTTAGGTTGTCTGTGTTACCAAAGTTGGCATTTTCAGGAACTTATGGTGTAGTTGATGGGACAAGCTCCTAACCCTGAAATATCCTTCGGAGCCCTGCTCCCACCCCACTAGCAGCTGGATTAGCTAACTTATCAGAACCCAAGATTCCACACGTCCATAAAACGAAGACATTACAACCTGTCCTCCTTACATCACAGGGTTCTTCCTACAAATCGACTAGGTCAATATACATAAAATTCTTTCGACAACTATAAAGTACTATAAAATGACAACTACAGATAAGTCAGTGAAATTAACCACCAAAATAATTACTTCAACTTCATGCCTATAACCAAAAGCTCCTAAACAAAACAGCTTAAACAAAGTGGTCATTAAGCAAATGAAGAACTAGCCTACTCTACTGAGTTTAATTTTTGGAAAAACTTAATTTATTTTAGAGGGGAAAAAAATCTTAGTGTTTATTCAAACAAGCTGCAACCACTAATTCAAAAACAGGAGGGTTTTTTCCTTAATAAGAGGACATTCTTTAATAGGACTGTATTTGAATAAGAATTCCACACAAATAGAATATATACCTTAACACAAGAAAGGAAGGAATATTTTACATTACACAGACCAGACATTTAGCTGGTTCCATCATAATGAGTTGCCCCTTCCAACCAAATACTTATTTTTTATATTTATTACAAATGTTGCAATTCAGTATATGCCAACAATCATACACAGTTCTAATATTTAATAGTGTGAAGCACACTTAACTGCTTCCAAAAGGACATGTGATGTAGTCTTCATTTCAGAGTAGAAGTGATTGAATTACTGTCTGCTCTTTAATGTTTCAACCAACCTGTGAAGAGAAAATGGTTTCAAAAAATCAACTGCAAACTTTCAGGTATGATCATTTATAAATTTTATATTGGAGGTGGATTCCAAAGCATTTTAAACAATGAAGGCTAAGATAGTTATAGAAAAATGAGGTTGTAGACTCAGTTTTGATGAGGGTCTTTTAGCTTTCACTTGGTCTATGCTTTGAATGAATAATCAAAAAAGACCAAATATCTCCTTCCCAAGCTGCTACTACTACAGCCCAGCCAGATGTGGATAATACAGAGGTTAAAACTAGTCTCAGTCCTCAAGGAGCTAATAATCTAGAGTAAGCAGATGCACAAATCAATCACAAGACAGTGTAACAAGTCCTGTGTCACTGACCTGTGACAAGGACATCTAACCGTGGTGTGTAAGGCAATGGGTATGAAGATACGAGTATGTCAGGGAAGACTCTGAAAGCCTTAACCTAAGTCCTGAAGGCTAAGGAACAGGTGAAGTGAGGCAGGGGAAAAAAAAAATGACAGAGAGCTGGCTTATAGAACTATAGTCAGGTAGGTGTTACTGAAATAAAAGTGACTACACATGAAGATGAGTGGGGAAAAGGCTGGAGGAACTTAATATTATGAGCTGCTAAGTAATTTGCTTTTCATAAGGTAACAGGGAATTTCATGGGTGCACGCGGCTGCACTCACACACAAATGCACAGATGGTTTCTGGAAACATACCATTCCATTGCCTCATCAAGGCCAGTGCCTTTGGTTGCTGAAGTTTTGAATATTTGCCATTTTCGGTCCTTCAAGGCAGGTAACCCAAGTGAATTTGCCATCTCTGAGGGAGTCATGGCCTGTTCCATGTCCTGCTTATTTGCAAACACCACCAAAATGGCTTTTCTCAGCTCTTCTTCCTAAACAGAAGATATTTAACTCCCTTTAATCAATTCACTCCTTTGAGTTTAGGAAGAAATGCCAAAAAAATACATTATTTTAAAAGTATATTCCCTAGGGTCGGCTGAGTGGCACACGTTGGTTAAGAGTTGGCTTGGGATGCCAGCTCTGAGCAGCAGGACCTCGCTTCGGATCTCACATGAGGGCCAGTGACACTGCCCTCTACAGCTAAGATGGTGAACAACAGCTCGACCTGGAGCTGGGTTTCTGTGAGTTGCCGGCGATGGCGAAGGCTGCAGCCCCTGCTGTAGTGGGCTGCTGTAAGCTACCGTGAGCGGCCAGCAGCCAGTGTGAGCTGCCAAGAGCCGCCGTGAGTGGCCGTCCAGTGGCCGGAGACCGATCTGCCTCACCCAGGAATGATAATGCCAACATTGGCCAGTGAAGCAACATCCTCCACAACTAGACTGAAGAACAAAAGGACAGCAACTTGTCTGTTCCCCTCCTCCAATTCCCCAATAAAATCCTTAAAAAAATAAATAAAAGTATATTACCTAATTATTAATATGTAATGTTTGTTATAAATTATTTGAAATTACAGAGAAGTATAAAGAAAAGAAGCTTCACCATAATCCTGCTTTCCAGAAAAGGTGCAATACTTTCAACTCCACCAAAATGTACAATAGTGCCTATTTTCTTTTTTTTTTTTTTTAATTTTTTGGGGGAATTGGGGGAGGGGAACAGACAAGTTGCTGTCCTTTTGTTGCTGTTTAGTTGTGGAGGACATCGCTTCACTGGCCCATGTTGGTATTATCACTGTGCTCTTCCCGGGTGAGGCAGATCAGTCACTGGCCACTGGACAGCTGCTCACGGTGGCTCTTGGCAGCTCACGCTGGCTGCCAGCCACTCACGGTAGCTTATGGCAGCCCGCTGCAGCCTACGCCGTCACCAGCAACTCACAGCAACCCAGCTCCAGGTTGAGCTGTTGTTCAGCATCTTAGCTGTAGAGGGCGCAGCATCATTGGCCCTAATGTGGGATCCAAACCGGGGCCCTGCTGCTCAGAGTTGGCATCCCAAGCCAGCTCTTAACCAACGTGCCACTCGGCTGGCCCAATAGTGCCTATTTTCAATGCAGCCTTGGTAGAACTGGAAATTATATATTTTTCCAAACATAGCTGCTCATTATATGCTTATTATTAGGGTATTAGAAATGTGAATGTTATTAGCAATATATTTTTCTCCTGTGAATTGTAGGTTCATGCCTTCTGCTCATTACCTATTGAGTGGCAGGTCTTGACATGATTAAAAACACTAATCCTTAGTCACTAGTTGTAAAATTGTGTCCCGGTTCTCCGTTTTACCCTAAGTTATATTATCTGGCCTCTTTGAGTTTTGGAGGTTTTTTGTTTGTATTAATATAATTAAATCTATTTTTTCTTTTGTAATTCCTTCCAATTCTTTGATTTAGAAAGACCGTTCCTATCCAGAAATTTTAAATATATTCACTTATATATTCTTATAGTTAATATCTATTTTTTTTTTAAAGATTTTTTATTGGGGAATTGGGGGGATGGGAACAGTGCTTTGGAATTGGGGGAAGGGGAACAGACAAGTTGCTGTCGTTTTTTTGTTCTTCAGTCTAGTTGTGGAGGACGTTGCTTCACTGGCCCAAATTGGCACCATCATTGCGCTCCTCCCGGGCGAGGCACATCAGTCGCTGGCTTCTGGACGGCCGCTCACTGTGGCTGCTGGCCACTCACGCTGGCTGCTGGCTACACACGGTAGCCCATGGCAACCCACTGCCACAGGGGCTGCAGCCTACGCCATCACTGGCGACTCACAGCAGCCCAGCTCCAGGTTGAGCTGCTGTTCAGCATCTTAGCTGTGGAGGGCAGTGTCACTGGCCCTCATATGTGGGATCCGAACCGGGGCCCTCTGGCATCCCAAGCCAGTTCTTAACCATTGCGCCACTCGGCCGGCCCTAGTATCTATTTTCTACATTTAATTCTTTACGCCATTTAGAATTAATTTTTGTCTATAAGTTTTGATGTAATAGTCCTGACCTCTACTTTACCTGTACTTTTTATCAGATAGTAAATATTCATTGACTGAATCAATTAAAAGTTACATCTTAAAGAATGAATGATTTTGGGCCGGCCGAGTGGCACGATGGTTAAGAACTGGCTTGGGACGCCAGAGGGCCCCGGTTCGGATCCCACATATGAGGGCCAATGACACTGCCCTCTACAGCTAAGATGCTGAACAGCAGCTCAACCTGGAGCTGGGCTGCCATGAGTCGCCGGCGATGGCGTGGGCTGCAGCCCCTGTGGCAGTGGGTTGCCATGGGCTACCGTGTGTAGCCAGCAGCCAGCGTGAGCAGCCAGCCGCTGCCATGAGCAGCCGTCCAGAGGCTGGTGACTGATCTACCTCGCCCGGGAAGAGCGCAATGATGGTGCCAACTTGGGCCAGTGAAGCAACGTCCTCCACAACTAGACTGAAGAACAAAACGACAACAACTTGTCTGTTCCCGTCCCTGATTCCCCAGTGCTGTTCCCCTCCCCCAATTCCCCAATAAAATCTTAAAAAAAAAAAAATGATTTTTTAATGAATTTTAGTTATTTCTCCATAAGTTTATACAAGTCAAATGCTAATACCACAAATAGCCTAACAATCCAGCACAACTTGAGAACTGTAAACTAGTTAATAATCCATTTCTTTTATGCAAAACTTTATATGATAAAAATCCATTATAATGTGCACAAAATAAAGTAAAAAAGGCATGAAGGGAAAAAAAAAATCCCTGCTTTCCTTTTCATTATTCCTGCATGAATAAACAATGGAAACAGCAAGAAAATATAAATGATTTCCCCACATTTTAATAGTTTTCTTACCTCCAACATGGCAACTAACTCTGATTTAGAAATGCCAATTCGGTCTCGGTCACAACTGTCTACTACATAAATGACTGCATCTGTGTTTGAATAATAACATCTCCAGTATGGCCTAAAGAAAATTCAGAAAGGGAGAATATATTATTATTTGAAAGAAGAAGAAATGCGTATGTTGATTTATATGCTAGGACTTGGCAGTGATGGGGGGCGGTTACATGCCAAACCTGCCCCCATCCACGTTGGGATCAATGCCATAAAACAAAATGCCATTGTTTCTGATGGATATATACCATATCCCTCAGACGTCAAGGGGTGAAAAGCATGTTGATAAATATCAAATCACAGGACCAAAGAGTTTCTGAATGAGTTCAGACTTTTGGCTGAGAGAATATATAACCTATAAAATCACTAAACGTATTGATAAAAAAGTTGTACACAGACCTGATCATTACATCTTATAAATCTTTAACTAGGAACTCCTTAAGAGGAACGGATTCTTAAAAATTTTACTATGATTTTATATAATAGGCATTAAATTGATCACTAAAGACACCAAGAAGTAGAAATGGCTAAAATTAGAAACAGACTTCAAAATGGTTCAAGAAATAAAACAAGTGAAAAGGCAGCAGGATGCTGGGGAATGCACTACTAATCTCTTAAGATGGTACCATAGTGAGCAACCACTGACAGTCACCAAACATTCCCCGTCGCCATGTCAAGCACAAAATGCTGGGCAGGAGACCTAGGTGTCAGAGAGCATCTGTGTTCACTTTGGCCCTAAATGGTGGGCCTGAAAGGTATTTTTATGAAACCCAGTATAGTCTCTGTCTCACAGAGGAAGGGGCTGACAAGAACTACATGGTGGGCCCTTTTTAGTAAAAATAAATAATTAGGTCTTAAGATTTTCATGAAAACACTTTTCATTAAGTGATATCTGAAAAACTGGTTTCCTTAGATTTTAATTTAATTGAGAGAACAGGCAGTTTTACCTCATTTTAAACTAGGCGGCTTCCACTTATATTACAAAACAAGATATATTTGGTTTACTGCTGTTAACCCTCCAAGAGCCAATAAACGTTAAACCCACAAAATAATCCGGCCTTCATACCATACCTGATGCTTGTCTGTCCTCCTAAATCCCAGACTTGGAATTTAAGGTTCTTGTATGTTACCGTCTCAACATTAAATCCAATGGCTGGAAGATAAATCAAATCAATAGTTTATGTAGACTAATGCATTCTACCTTCAAAGTATCCAATCGAATTTCCCCAATGAATGGTAATTATTGAATCATATTATTGGTTAAGATATTATTCCATTTAAGACAAGACAGCATGCTGTGCTACACACACCAATTAGCCAGTTCAGCACTACTTCGGGTTATGTAAGAGTCTCCAGTCATCTCTGCAAATACATAATTCTTAGCTTAATGGAAATCGTATTATGCTAAACTCTCATAAAACAGTACTGGCATACAAAAGTGTTCTGAAAGTTGTATTTAGAAAGGACAGTTGCAGAGGTATTATAAAAAAATTTAATTTGGGTAAGCAGCAAATAAACGGAACAAAACCAAGAAAGCCTAGATTCTAAACTTCAGTGGGTAAGGACATAGCAGTGGCTGGAGACTGCTTTATGGGAGCTGGGTTCTCGAAGGCTGGCACTCTCAGACCCTCTGCAGACTTCCTCAAGAATTCATCTGTAAAAGGGCATAGCTGCATTGACAAAAGGGAGGTGTCTTGTCCCTTCTCCCTGTCATCCTTCTTAGGTGGAGCTCTGGCACCACACAGCTGAGGCAGGAAATCACTATTTTCATTGAAAGGAATCTAAGGGAAGGTGCAGAAGATGCTGGAAAAACTTAGTTATATATACAAAAATGACTACGATTTTATAAGCTTAAAAGAAATCATAGTAAACACTGACAGCTATGAATTTTTATTTTAGATTTCAGTTTATATCGGTAAATGATTCATGTGTATATGACAAGTATGAGGTAGGAGTGTCATCACCATTTCTGCCAGGACTACAAACACTGTTTATACGCAAAAGACAGGCATGGGGTGTAAATCAGCATTCACTGAAATGGCAAGCCCCTGGACTGCAGGGACCCCCAAGACTCAGACACAGCAGAGATGAGATGGGCAATTTTGAGAAGTTAAAACCACGGGAACAGACATTTATTGAAGGTGGCAAAAAGAGAGAAAAGAGGTCACAGAGTTTTAAAAGTTCTTCTTTCATAAAAAAAAAAATTATTTTTTTTAATCTAGAAATTTAAACACTATTAAATATAGAAATATCTTGAATGACAGCATTACAGGCGTAATTTAAATACTCGAGCAAACTGAACACTTAAACTTAGTTTAAATGTATTAATCTCTAAGTAAATTAAGGTCAACAAATGGTGAAAAGTATAAATACAACAGTATTCTTATGTAGTCAAACAGGACTATTGAGAATATTTTTCTAAGATATTGACAGCTGATTTAAAATTGAGGTATTTCTTCTCTTGATATTTTTAGCTACCAGATTAATTCAGCATTCAGTCTCTTCAACTCAGATCTTTACAAGTAATCAACAGAATTACTTGAGAAACCAAGCTTAAATTAAAATACATGGTAATACAGAAAAAACTACTTCACATGGAATATCACTTAACATCTACGTAATTCTTTAAAGAGGTTTAGTGTATTTTATACACTTATTTCTCCCTCAAAGCCAGTGGATATTTATCATCTTGATTTTATCAAAAAAGATATTGGCTCTCAATGAGATTAAGTGCCTTACCTCAAGCCAATTTTTAAAACAGCTCTGTGCAGCAAAACCTAGCCATGCAACAGAGTCCATAAATTACACCAAAATGCCTCTCAGTTTATGGGAAAAAAAGTGTTATCAATAATATGCTCATACTACAAGCTTATAAACCTTATCAATTACTTTATTATATGAATTATTCATTCAGAAATAAAATTATTATGCTGGGTGGAAAACAGAAACCCCTATAAATTAGTTTATCATACCAACACTTACTAGGAATAGTAGTAACGACTTCTCCAACCTGTAATCTGTACAAAATCGTAGTTTTTCCTGCTCCATCTAATCCCAAAATTAAAATCCTCATTTCACGGGTTCCAAACAGACTAGAAAATATACTTGAGAAAAAGCCACCTAAGAAAATAATAAAAGCAAAACTGTATTAAATATCATTTTGTGAACTAGGTCCACAAAACATTTAATCTTGCCATTTGAAAGCTATACCAAATTAAATACTATATTTTCTTCCATTCATAGATGCATATTTTTGGCCCAACTGAAATACATTATTCAACATCAAACAAGTAATTAGCATTACCATGTCCTACATACTGTATCGGGAAAGCACAGAAGATACACTAAAATGAATAAGAGAAATATGATCACTGCCTTCACGGAGCTCACTTTCTAATCAACAGAATATGGGTAGCTTAGCATGATCACCCCAATACCCCTAAAAAACAAAGGGTGAATCAGAATGACAATGGGACAATGAGGTCCTCACACATGAAAAGCAACTATTTTAATTATTATTACAGGTTATACATATTTATATTACAACAAATATAATATTCATTATTATTATATAGCATCAGTACCAGCAGAACCACCTTCAATAATTGAGATTTCTGTTAAGCAATATAACTAGCACAAGAAACTGAGACATAGCAACCAAAATAAAAATTGACAGAACACTCGTTTTAAAAAATAACGCTACATTCACTGCATCATGAACTATGTCCGGGAAGCTTCCTATATGCAAGGTACTGTGTAATACAAAAGACCTTGTGAACAGAGTAGAATTGTGGTTACCAGATGTGGGAGAATCAGGGAAACTGGGGAGATGCACAAACTTTTGTTATGAAATGAGTAAGTTCTGGAGACCTATGTACAGCAGGGTGACTGTAGTTAATAATAGTGTAGTGTACACTTGAAATTTGCTAAGAAAGATCTCCAGAGGTTCTTACCATACATTATGTGAACTGATGAATGCATTAATTAGCTTGAGTGTGTAATTATTTCACAAGGTACACACACATCAAAATATCATGTTGTATACCTGAAATACATACAATTTTTGTTTGTTAATCATACCTCAGTAAAGCCGGAAAAAAATTAAAAGTGACAAATTATCCTTGGTGTCAGCAGGCCTCCTATAAATGGAGGCCTGCTGTGTTTAAGTAAAATAACCCCTAACAGAAAGGAAGGTGGACATGTAGAGTCTTTATTATTCTTTTAAGAACAAAAGCAGCTTTCTTTTTTTTTTCTTTTATGATTACAAAAAAAAGCACCTTGGCTTGATTCTTCCCCACCAAAAGCCATTAGATTGAAAGTTACATTAACAATATAAAAACGACTCACAACAGAAGTGATGCCACTCAATAACACATGATGATTTGACAAAGAAATGGCACAATTAATAGCTGCGAGTCTGGAAAAATGAACACACCATGAGCAAGAGAACCCTTGGAAAGTGTAATAGAAGGGGTAGGAACTTGACAAAGTCCTTTCTACATCTTACAGGTTAAAAAAAAAAAAGGCGAAAGATTAAAACTGAAGGTGGTTATGGAAAAAGACAGGAAAGCGCTTGCGATGTTCCAGAGCAGGAAGTAAACGCCTCAGCAAACCGTGGAGGGATTTAAATAAGCCAAAGAATTTCCACGTTCATCTGGAGGGCTGCAAACAAGTTCAAGGAGTTGCGCCTTCATTTTGGGCTCTAACGGGGCTGAAGGCTTTACCTGATGCTTGTGATGGCAATGTATAATAGCTCCCTCAATTAGCACTCCAAAAACTGAGATAAAAATTTCATTCACTGACCAGCAATACCCTCTCCATTTCTTTCTCCGTCTTACTCTCTTCTCTACATGAACAGCTACAGATAAGTAGACAAATGGCCAAGATGGCTATCAAACAAAATCATGAGCAACACCTCCCTTTGGATTTGTCAAACGGATGCAGTCCCACCGACCAGCGGGAGGGAGGGAGGGAGAGAAAATATCAAGCTTCCACAATGGGGTCAGATCTCATTTTTAACCCAAAAAGCCTCAGCGAACCTGTGACTGACATGTTGCCAAGCTTCGCAAGACCAGCTCTGCCCAGCAAGTGGAACTGGGCCTGAGCTGGTGAGGGGAAAGTTCACGGTCGGGGGAAAGGATTCGGGGCCGGCTCCCAGGCCTCCCTCCGCGCTGCGCGGCCCCGCGGGGATGAAGGAGGAAAGAGCGAGCAAGGAGCCACCCCCACGGGTGAAGCGCCGCGGGGAACTAGGTCCACAGCGCGCCCTCCGGCGAGAGGCCGGCTACTCGGGGGTTCCCAGGCGGGCCCCTCTCCTCCTCCGCCCCCGGCCCCGGGCCGGCTCCCCCCTCGAGCGCGCCCAAGCGCCCTTCTCAGATCCCTCACCCATGATGAGCCGCCTGTCCGCCCTCGTCGATTGTCAGAGACAGCTCCCCGGCCTCGGCAGCGACTCTCCTTCGAGCCCGGTGCCGCCGCCTCCGCTCGCCTCGGCCTCCCGCACCGGCTGGGAGGCGGTTTCCTTGGAAGCCCGGTCAGCCAGCAACTTCCACGTCGGACACCCGGCGGGGCGGGACGAGCAGCCGGCGCGACTGCGCGCCTGAACGGCGACCTGTGCGTCCGTGTCGTAGCTTTCGATGCGGGTCCGCGTCGCGCTGGGGGTACATACTGTGGAAGCCAGAGGGGAGAAAAAAAAGTCAAGGGCCCCACATTCTGTCCTGCTACTGTTTTCTTGGACAGGAGGGCTTCCGAAACAGGGAAATTTGAGTGTTTCGTTTTTAAATTCTGACACCAAAAAGTGGCGAATCCGCTCACCAAGAATGCTAGTCCAGCTTCGATGCGGCAGCCTGACAGGACGTGGGCGCAGGCTGCGGCGTCGCAGGGGTTGCTGGTTGTGAAGCGTCCTGCGGGGGCGACCCACCTGCACCTGGGTGCTTTTGCCGAAAAGGCGGTGGCGCTACGTAATAATAATAGGAAGACCGCCTCCCCTCCCGCGCCACTAATGGGGAGCATACTGATACGTAAGGCCGCTAAAGAGCCATTTTTAGCGTCAGCGTTACCGCGCCCCCGCCCCCCGCACCTCCCCCGCACACACCGGTCTTCCACCTGACCGTGCACCTGGGCTTCTTTCCGTGATTGGCAGTGTGGACGGGCTGGTGCAGATCGTGGGGGGTTTGGGTTGGAGACCTATTTCCTCAGGGGTCGTTGATTGGAAGTGATGTAGGTCTTGACAGTGAAGTGTGTGGGAGGAGGCGACGCTTGAAGGATGGGGAGAAGGGTTTATCCTAGAATCTTTTGTTTCTGTTTTTAAGGCTGAGCACGCGTGTCTTGCAAGTTGGTCAAGACTCAGAAAAGTAAACCTATCCGTAGCCCCTCATCCCGCCGTTCTCCGTAGCAGCAACCGTTGTGACCACTTTCCTGGGTCACCTTCCAAATATCATCTTTGCATATTATATTTTTATTTATAATAGAGATTTTCATCCATTCAACAGAAGTTTATGGACTGCCTGTTTTGTTCTTGACTTCGATTTTTAGACCTCTCCAGTTGCATCAGCATGAACTAGATTTGCCTTTTGCTATCATCTCCCCTTCCCACTCGCAAATGCTAAGTTCACAGAAATCTTTCTTGCAAGGAAAAATTTAGGGAGCGAGATGGCGTTGTCATTTGTTTTATTGTTTGAGAAGGGGACAGTTGAGCAACTCTTCACCTAAGTACCTGGACTTTTTTAAGGCTGTGCTTCTTAAGCATTGCGTGTTTCAACTATTGGACCTCAGTGTGCCATGATTCCACTGGCCTTTCTCACCCATTCATCTCCCTCCAATCCCTCTCTTAGCCGAGATTAGCCGCTACCATTGGCACATCTTGGTCGGCCATTGCTTCTTCAAACTTAGGTCCATGTCAAAGGGCGAGGGGGATAGTAGAAGAAGGAAAAGGGGGTCAAATGTATGGTGATAGAAGAACTGACTCTGGGTGGTGAGCACGCATGTGATATATAGATGAAGTATTATAGAATTGTACACCTGAAACCTATGTAATTTTACTAACCATTGTCACCCCAATAAATTGAATTTTAAAAAGTTCTATCCAAGTCAGATTTATGTTTCCAGTATAATGCACATAGTTCCCTGAAAATAGATTCCCCTTAAATGAGAACTAAAAAGAAAGACATGCTTTAAACTTTATATTCACATTGTATATTCTGAACCAAATAAGCAAATAAGATAGACGTGAGGATGCTGTGTAAACTGAAGTGCTATACACAAATTAAAAAACACTATTAGATAGCATTTCAGCATTTCATAATGTGTATTAAGCACCTAACTGTAAGTCACTAAGGAAACAATAGTGTGATAAAAAACAAAAACCCTTTAGGCAATTTGATCAAGAACTTTCTTTTTCAAAATTTACCCATTTAATTTTTTGCTTTGTCTGTGAAGGTCTGATCTAATTTCCTGGACGCATCAAAAAGAAAACCAAAAAAAAACCCTTTTTCCATTCACAGAAACCTTTGATCTAAAGAAAAGAATCTCAAAATATTAAGATAAGGTGTCCCGTTAAAATTATTTTCTAAAGTAGGTTGTGGACAAGTAACATAACTTTCTTATAAACATTTACTATGTTCAAGGCCTATTCTATACCTATGGAATATTCTAAAACAGTCTCTGCTTTCAATTTCTAACATTTAGAGGCACTTGTTAACCCAAGGGTGTTTAAGACAGAAAATTCAAAAGGATTCAAAAAGTGTTGAGACAAATTTATAAATAAAGCCATAAACAGCTTAGATGAATTTAGCTAATCTTTATAGTGATTACATCTTACCTTAACCTTCTCCTCCCTTCTCTCAACTCTCATTTCCTAAGACTAGAGTAGTTCTTTCATAGTAACACAATTTTCAATGTGTAAATGTCACATTAAGGCGGTGAAAAATAAGATAACAAAACTACCACTTCATGTATTTTTTCTGATACTAACTAAAGACAGCCATTACTCTGCAGGAAAGGTACCTTATCTTTCGGGCAACATCATTTTTCAAAATGCAGTCATTCCTGTTAATATTGAGCTGGTATTATAGTTCTTGCTTCCTAAAAAAGAAATACTTGAGGAAGCACAATTATAGGAGCATGCTGGAATTAAAGCTAAATATTTAGATTATAAGTCTATGGAATTTTATCCTTCAGACAAGCATGTAGAATTGACCTCACCTCTTTCTGGTCTTTGCTCAAATATCATCCTCTTTAAAAATTGTAACCTAGGGCCGGCTGAGTGGCGCGTTGGTTAAGAACTGGCTTGGGACATCAGCTCTGAGCAGCAGGGCCCCGGTTCAGATCCCACATGGGGGCCAGTGACGCTGCATCCTCTACAGCTAAGATGGTGAACAACAGCTCAACCTGGGGCTGGGCTACCGTGAGTCGCCGGCATCGGCATAGGCTGCAGTGAAGCTGCAGTGGGCTGCCATAAGCTATTGTGTGTGGCCAGCAGCCAGCGTGAGCCCACGGCAGCCAGTGTGAGCTGCCAAGAGCAGCTGTGAGCGGCTGTCCAATGGCCGGCAAGCAACTGCCTCACCTGGGAAGAGCACAATGATAATACCAACATGGGCCAGTGAAGCAACGTCCTCCACAACTAGACTAAAGAACAAAAAGGACAGCAACTTGTCTGTTCCCCTTCCCTAATTCCCCAACACTATTCCCCTCCCCCAATTCCCCAATAAAATCTTTAAAAATAATAATAAAATAAAAAATAAAAATTGTAACCTACCTAACATCCCTCTTACCCTGATTTTTTTTAAAGATTTTATTGGGGAATTGGGGGGAGGGGAACAGCACTGGGGAATCGGGGAAGGGGAACAGACAGGTAGAAAAATTGCTGTTTTGTTCTTCAGTCTAGTTGTGGAGGACGTCGCTTCACTGGCCCATGTTGGTATGATCATTGTGCTCTACCCGGGTGAGGCAGTCAGCCACCAGTCATTGGTCAGCGGCTCCCTGTAGCTCACACCGGCTACTAGCTGCTCACGCTGGCTGCCGGCCACTCACATAGCTCATGGCAGCCCATGCCGTTGCCGGCGACTTACAGCAGCTCAGCTCTAGGTTGAGCTGTTGTTCATCATCTCAGCTGTAGAGGGCAGTGTCACTGGCCCTCATGTGGGATACGAACCGCGGCCCTGCTGCTCAGAGCTGGTGCTCCCAAGCGAGTTCTTAACCAGCTGAGCCACTCGGCCGGCCCTTATCCTGATTTTTTTAATACGACTTCCCACTAGACATGTTATAACTTATTTACTTACTATGCTTATTATTTATTATCTACTTCCTTTCACTAGAAGGTAACATTTATGAATGTATTTTTGTTTATTTTGTTCGCTATTTTATTCTTGTACTTGGGCATTAGGCAAATATTTGTTGAGAGAATTTGTTGAATTGTAAAATAAGTTTCTAAAGCCAATGCCATAAACATTAGTTAACTTAAACATATAGCGTGCAATATTTTTAAACTTGTTTCCTCAAATAGGCGTTTCTGAACTACTGGCCCATATTTGAAAGGAGAGGCCAAACTAGCTTCAAGGAAGTCGCCATAGTTGAAAAGAGCCACCAGGTGGTGGTATTGCTTCAAACAAATTCTCGGTAGAATGAGATCAATTGGTACAATTCATTAAAAGTTGAGGGGACAATTGAATCGTTTTCAAATCATATAGTTCCATAATAATTTACTAAATTTTTAAATGTGAATGTTTTAATACAGTTTAAGCAAGGAAAATAATTTCAAAACACCTTTGACTATAAAGTCACAATAAGATCAAGGAAATTCAGAATTTTAAAACTAGAAGGAATCTCAATTCCAACCACCTCCGTTACCAATGAAGAAGTAGAAACAAGCTAAGCGACAGAACCAGGACACAACCCTTATCACTTGGCTTCCTGGCCTGGAGTAACTAGATTATGATGTCCTCTGTAGTTGAGTCATTTACCAAATGATCTATACGTTTGGCAAACTGATTATCAAACATGTGTCCGTGCCTCAAGAATTATGCTTCAGTTTCCAAATTTGAAACTTAACAGTTTTGTGTGATAAATTGCCTAGTGGAAGTTGCATTCTCTTGCTCAGATTGTATTCCATGAAGCAGAAATCTATGAAATATAAGTATAAATATATGTGTAATAAATATAAGCTTAGAAAGAGCTTATCTTACTGTATATTTATAATTGTATTTTAACCTAAGGAGCATTTTTAAATCATAACTAGATATGTGATTTTCATAACTCAAGCTATGCATTGTATTTCAAATGTTTCCTTTCAATAACATGTACTTTGGTAACAGAGCAGAATTTCTCTTCATACTAAGGTTTTTTTTTCTTAATTGAAATATAATTCACATACAATCAAATTCACAGTTTTTTAACTGTACAATTCAGTGATTTTTAGTATATTCACAAGGTTTGCAACTATTACCACTATCTAATTCCAGAACATTTTCATCACCCCAAACAGAAACTCCATCTCCATTAAGCAATAACTCCCCACTCCTCACTTCCCTAGCCTATGGTAACCTCTAATCTACTTTCTGTCACTATAAATTTGACTATTCTAGATATTTCATAGATGTATAATTGTACAAT